GAGGAGGAAAGAAACTAGCACAAAATACATTTCTTGCGGGAGGCTCCTTTAAAAAAAATGAATACTATCAAGGACATGTATTTTGTGGACTAAGATTTACCTTGCACTTGCCCAGTCCAAAGTCCATTGAAATCAATGGATATATTTCCATTGACTTAAATGGGCTTTGAGGTCAGATTCCTAAACCTTCTGCCTGCCTTTTTATCTATTCTTCTCTTGCCCCACTGAAGACTACTCCAGGCTGCCAAGGCACAAAACCCTCCCTCTGGATTACGACAGGCCCTGCCATACTTAGGCACCCTTTGTGAAGTTGCCTTCAGGGTGCTGTTTTCCCAGATTAGCTGGGACTGCCATTGCCATCACACAAATATCTTGCTGCTTCCACTTTGTTGCTAGAGTGGAAGTGTGGCCTCTAACATCCCCACCATCTGCTCTGTGCTGACACGGATGCTGTCAATGGGACTACTCACATCAGTGTCTGCATGACCGGGGCCTTCAGCTTTTAGCAAACACACTTCTACTATGTTTTAAATAAATCAATATTATTAAAACTACAATTTTACAAAGTTAATTCACTTTTCTAGACTGTTTTTGCTGTTTTGTTTTGTTTTGTTTCCTCTTCTCTCAACTTTTACAATAGATCATCAGTTTCACTTTCTTCTATGGTCAGTGTCAAATCAATTTCACTTTCCAGTTCTCACAAGCACAGGCTTGTAATTTTGGGACTGCAAACTCTGTTTGGGGACTCTGTTTAAAACTGATTTCCTTTGGAATTAAAAATATTTTGAAGTTGGGGGTAGGTTTTTTTCCCTTCCTTTTTCTTTAGGGAAAAGGGTTGAGGGGGATTGTTTGTATGTAGAATTTCCTGTGCAGAGTCTCAGTGCGCTCAGTAGGGATCTGTGCCAACACTGCAGTCCACCCACCCAGTGTAAATTGCAGAAGTGCTACACATGACCCTCATCTACACTTTCAGCTGGGGTGTAATTCCCTACTTGAGTAGGCAAAACCCACTCTAGCTCTGGTCAGCAGTGCCAACAATGGGACAAGCGACGAGGAGTCCTGTGGCACCTTACTTGATTGGATCCACCTGGTCATCTCCAGCCTGATTCTGGCCTGCATATTTATTCCTGCCTCTGGAAATTTCCACTACATGCATCTGATGAAGTGGGTCTTTGCCCACGAAAGCTTATGCTCCTACACTTCAGTTAGTCTATAAGGTGCCACAGGACTCCTCGTCGCTTTTGCAGATTCAGACTAACATGGCTACCCCTCTGATACTTAACAATGGGACAGGCCAGCTACTCCGAGTATGTGCTTAGTGTCTCAGAGGGATGCTTCTTGGCACCTAATGCTTCTTGCCACCAGCTACACTATTATAGCACATATAACGCCCCCCCCCCTCTCATACAAAGTATAGGCATATCCTTAAACACTGACCATCCACTCTCACCACGAGTGCAAAATGCTACCTTCAGGATGACAATGAACAAATCATTTTATAAGAAATCAAAATGAAGGCACAATGAAGAAAGAGCTCCTACTGTTTTAAAGGACTTTCCAAGTATATTTCTTCAACATTTTTCAAAATATTTTAAGTCTTGAATTCTTTATATTTTGAGAGGGGAGGGACACAATTTAAAGGATGGTGCAAACATTATTTTAAATGCAGGTCAAAGATTTATACCTATCAATTTTGACAAAATCCTTACAAAATCAACTAATCTTATGCAACTGCTTTTGCCAGACTGGCTTCTTGTATCTCTGGCATGCCCTTGTCTTCACTGAGCCACTCTGCTATTTCTGGGAGGCACAGAAATTTGAGTAAGGGAAACATAGCCTGGGAGAACGTTTTGTTCAGAAGAAATGTATTTGTTGCTAAATTCTGTAACACTGTTTACAGTTTTCCTCCATGTTATTTATAAATTTTATACTCCGTGAATGTATATTGTCTTTAAGGTAATACTGCATACTGTTCAATTTTTATAGTGTCCTTTTATTCTAAACAGTAAAACGGTTTTATTTCTATCACATACATTCTGTCTTTGCCTTGCTTATGATAGGCAGTCTCTGTTACTTTAACCAAATATGAATGATCCTAGAAACTGTTGCTTTTTCATTGGCTCTTATGTGAAAATGAAGATTCAGGTAATTGTTCTACTCCCTCAACAACACTTTTTATCTTTCAAAGCAACCACTCTCTTGCAATCAGATTTTTTGGGTCACCAGCCCCAAGATAAGAGGAAAGGAGAACCCTTTTGGAGCCTGAGTTCCATTTTTTTCATGTCTACCAATTTTGGCCAGATGGGATCACTACAGCGCAAAACAGCCACTATGGCTCCCATTTCCAAACCAAAAATGGGAACGCGTTAGCTACCGCCCTGACCCTGTTAGCCACGCAAACCTGCCACAGGAAAGTCCCACCCCTGGAAGTAATACTTCCGAGGTCAAGATGGACACATCACCAGAAGTAAAGGGTGTCAGGTGACCCCTCTCAGAACTCCTACTGTCCTCTACCAATAGGGATGGTTTGGGTCCCCATAGGACATCCCCATGCAACTATACTGCAATTGCATTAACCCAGGCCCCAGACTTAGGGTCCCATGACACTGCAGCACTAGGCATCCAACTCTGATTCAAGATAAGATCCAGGATCCGACACCTATGACTTTGCAGTGTAGATACATCCTCATTTGACTCGGGGCATGGGAGTCCTCCTGAACTATCCCACAATTTCATGGGACAACTTCCTTAGTCCTCTTAACGGATGATGCTTACCGGTTCCAATTAACTGGTAATCAAAAGTGGCTGGAGCAGCTCCTCACCTGCTATGATCATGGGGGTGCTCCAGCCCCACAGAGGGCCTGTGGCAGATGGGGTTGCTCTTGTCTGAAGCAGCCCCTGGCTGAGGGGAACCCGGGAGTCCTGCAGGGAGGGATTGCGCCAGTGTCCGCAGCAGCCTCTCTGTGGGGAGTCCAGCTTGCTGTGGACGGGCTGCTCCAGAGGGGGCTAGGACCTGATGACAATCCCAGTGTGACCTAACATTAACCGGTTAACCGATTAATGGGAATTTACATCCCTAATGAGATGTACTGCAACTGCATTGTTTTGAAGTAACTGCAAAACTATCAAGTGGCCTCCGTTTCTACAAGCCAGAATGACAGTACTGAACTAACCATGAAAATTACAGGATGGAGAAGACCATGTAACTGACCCTCACCACCACCGCATGAAATTATGTTTCCCATGGAAATCAGATGGGGCTGGGCTATTCTGTATGTAAAGCTACTGAGACATGTAAACGTCAATACCATGATGGCAATGCCTATATTATATAAATAATACCTAAATTGCCAAATGAAACCACTTCCCAACCTCCTTACAAAGTACCTGAGCCAATTTAAATTTTAAGCTAGGATTGGGCTCAAAGCAATCTGCTGACATTACCCAAGAAGATCCAGTTAACATTTAGTCACCCTTCAAAAATATAAGGGACCAGTCAGTAAAAGCCCCACTGCCTGGTAGAGGCAATCTTTGAAGAAAACTGGAGAGGCTTTGAATTTACTTCTCCTGACAGCAGCACTTTCTCTCACTGGATGTGGGGTCTTTAGCACAGGTTTCACTTTGTGTGTTAGAATAACTCAGAAATGCGTTGTCACAGTTAACTCCATTCAGGTCTAGGCAACATGCAGCTCAAAGACAGAAGAACAAATCCCTTGAAACTGGAAGTCAAACCATCTCACCTCTTCACAGAGCTCACAAAGGGCTTGTTCACCCAGACACACAAATCATGACAACCCTCTCTGCAGAAAGACAATGCATCCTGCCTCTCTGTGGACACACCAAGTGTTTACACGCGGCATCTTAACACACCATTTAAATCAACTGCTTGGATGAAGAAGATTCACAGAGTCTGTCCATGATCCACACTGGAGTGATGCAGTAATTTCCCTGCCGTGGTAACAGACCTGATCTCTCTGTGGGTTTCTGTGGAGTGGCAGGGAGCCCGGGATAGTCTCTCAAGGGGAGAAGCTGGGGGTGCCTCTATTTCAGTGACTCAAACTTTTTGGCCCATGGACCACCTGTCTCAATGTAAACTTTTCCGCAGACCACCAGTTGCTAATTGAAACTCACCGTTAATTACATAATTATGCCTGAGCTATTTTAAATAAAGTAAAATAATAATTTATGTTCAGCACAAAAGGTTTCAAAGTTTTCTTTATGTATGGCAGGAGTGGGGAACCTTTTTTGGGTTGAAGGCTATTGACAGACAGAAAAATCAGTTGGGGACTACACGAGTGAGAAGCACATAGGCCAGATTTACTTTTCTGGGGTTCTGGAGTTAGTGGATTTTATGGACTCCCTTAGGCTCTGGGGAAGGGACAAAAATGAGGGGTTCATTGTGTGGGAGAGGGCTGCCAGTGAGTGGGATAGTGATGGGATGCAAGATCTGGGAGGGAGATTAGGGTGTAGAAGAGAGAGAGGTTGCAAGGTCTGGGTGGGAGGTAGGGTACAGAAGCAGGCTGCAAGTAGGGTGTCTGGCCAGGGGAGAGAGCAGGAGCAAGGGAGGGGGTAGGTGTCTGGCTGGGAGAAGGGTGCAGGAACAACAAAGGGTGTTGGAGCAAGCAGGGGGTGTAGAGTCTTGTGGGGGGACTGAGTGAGGGGGATTGGGGTGTGGGAGTCTGGGCATGAGGGGGAATGCT